GCTTTCTTAAGAATACAGTGAACTACAGAACTGCACAATCTGTCAATAAAGTAAGCTTATTTTGAACTACTGTCCATATGACTCAATTTGTCAGTAAAAACTGCCACCAGCGCTGTGCTTGCAGAAAAATGTCCATAAACGCATTATTGCGACTGGCAGATCGATGTCTATAATAAAAACAAATAGATTTAACAAGTGCTTGCTTTTACGAGTTGTGCTATTGGTAGAACGTGCATTCAGTTTCACCCCTTGACTTCTGGGAACAGGCAATGCAGACTGCATTGGATAGTTTGCTGACTCTACAAGTGCTGCAAACAGGAAATTTTTCTAACATGGGAGATCTTTAAATATATAATACACTGACATATACAGTTTAGAATGTGCACATATGATATACTTAAGATTTAGCTCATTTCATGGGTTTCTTTAAATATGCAACTTTTTCCCTATGAAAGGGTAACACTTTCTTTTGTCAAAATAGTTTGAAATCTACCACAAAATAGCTGCATCATGGCTCACTATGGTTGATGATGATGCAGAAAGGAACTGCATTTTGTTCCCGTGAGACTGATTCAACTACTCTGGTTGAACTGAGAATTGAGAACAACCACTGCTATATAACCTGAGTTTTTAACATTCAACACCTGCATTAGGATACCATCTTTTATGTTAGTGGTCTCCAGGGCAGCATAAGAAATAGTCATATAGTCTTCAAAGAAAACAACATTCTTAACATTATAATAAATACTCTGTAACAGAAGCCTGTACTTATATACACATACGCAACCCTCACTGAATGCCATAAATTTACTTTCCAGTAAAAGGCTATCAACAACTAAAAACACCACTTACTTTTTTTCTAATAGAAATTAGTCTGATCCCAAATCAAGAGTGCCATCAGAGACTAACTATATTTGCATCAGTAGCATTTGTAACTTGTTATCCTAATACCTTTCCAGTCAGGCCCTGGTGCTTTGTGTTTAAGCAATCCCTGATAGCCTTCCCAGTGGGCATGAACTTCTCCTTCAGGCTACTACAGCTTTAGTGATGCCATTAACTGATTCTCTACATACCGTAAGCATTAAACAGTAGTGACAAGTTAATTACGGACTTATCAGGAGATAAAGTAGCCACAGTAACACAACTTACTGTAGAACTAGTATAGCTTCCTATAGGGTATGGTGCAGTAGCTACATAAGTAGTGTAATTAATTTGTCATGGATCAGACGGTAGATAAAACTTGCTGAGGCCAGCTTCCAAGCAGAGCTATTTTACCCAAACCTTTAAATATATGTTTTATTTTGAAAACCTGAAGTCATATCATGGCAATATTCATGAACAGCCTAAGCAACTGACTCATTAGATAATGTGTAAATACTAGACAGATAAATCCCAGAGCAGGATCATACCTGATTGCCTGGCCATTTATATATTAATGTTTATTATTATTAAATGAATTTTAACACATCTTGTAGGACACAATGAAATGAAAAAGCAGTTATAGAAAAAAGAATAATATTTTGACACTGAGATTTCATAATTAAATATTGTGAACTGTGAACAACTAAAACTTTATTAGAGAACCTGAAATACTTTCCCTGCCCCAATACTAAATAATTTATTTTGTCCCTAGTTCTCTTTCCAACATGACCTGGAAATTTATGCTACAATCTTTTGAGATAAACCTGTGCAGATTAATGCTGAAGACAGGAAGTGCTGATAAAGGCTACTTTAGCGAGTTTATCTTAAGATCTCTCTCTCTCTCTCTCTCTCTCTCTCTCTCTCTTTCTCTCTCTCTCTCTCTCTCTCTCTCTGTGTGTGTGCAGCCATTAAATGGAATATTATATTTTCACATAAATGAAATATGTTAAGCAATATATTCATATACCAAAATACTTCCAGGTTTTCTAAAAGCTACAAAAAGCAAGACTTCGTTTGAATTTCTGTGCTGAATACTTAAAGATTACTTCTTCATAAGTTATATTGTTTCATAAACAACTTTGTGGAAAATGGTAGGTCTGTCCCTGCCAATCTGCCAAATCTTTCAGAAGATTTGGTCTTGAGAAAGAAAGAATTCATGGCTTTTCTTGTTTAAAGTCTAACAAAGCCATTTCTGACAGCCACAAAACAAAGCAGCACCAAAGAGTAAAAAGCAGAGTTTTAATATGCATTCTGTATATCAAACTATTTTATATTAGTATATTTTCATAATTTTCATATTTAAAAACTCAATATCATATTTTGAGAAAAACCGTCCCATATTGTACTGAGTTGAGGTTTCCAGGTAGCTTGCTTTAGTTGTACATATAAGCTAACTACTGCATCAATCAACACATGACCTTATGAAGAAATAATGTCTTACAACAATCTGAGTCTTTTGAAAATGTATATTTAAAACTGGACAGTTTTTTCCTACATTCAAATTTCTAGAAATAATAATTAGAGCCCCAAATCTTATTCACCATAATAAATTTGACAAATTTGACAAATTTAGATAAAATTCATTTCTCACAGTGACTGGCTAACATTGAAATATTTGCTGCTTCACTGAAAGCTAGGCTGCCCTTACAGGCTTTCTTTTAATGTTAATCACAAAAAGTATCTATCTGTTAAGTCAGGGATGTCAAACTTGCATCGTCACATCGTCATCATGTGACATATAGTGACTTTTCCTCCCCTTCGCTAACCCGTGGGTGGGGATGGTCAGCACGTGACGCATCTGGCCCATGGGCTGCAAGTTTGACACCCTTGTGATAAGTTGTCTGAGTAAAAAAAAACAAAGCTCTAGTTATATAAAAAGAACAAAACTTCAGCAATTGCTATAATGCTGAGTCTATCAAAATCTAAAAGTATTTGAAGTCAAATTTAAAGACCATAATTGGATAACAATGCTGAAAGTTGTTCCCACAGCAACAATTAATGTTTTTCATTTAAAATTATGTTTAATTAAACATAAGCACTCTAATTTGTATGATTTCAGAATTCCTATGCTATGTTATTGCTCTTACAGTTAGGCAAATAAATAATTTTTCACAATTTCATAAATAATAAAAATCAAGTAACTGCTCAAACTAATCAAACTATATTGCAAAATGCTTACTGAATTATAAATTAATGTATTTAATCACATTTGCACACTTGTTTAAAAATATGTCAAGAAATATCACTGGAAAATTGATTGTAATCAATGATATAAAATAAGAGTTCTCGTGATTTAAATCAATTATTTAAATCATCTTGATTTAAATCAATCCTGCTTGTGTGTGCCACATCTGCATTTTTTTATGCAGAGTGGTGAATTTCTTCTGAATTGGAGGAAACTGATGTTTTCATTAACTGAAGTGAAATTAAAAGCCATGGATTTTATGTCTTTGTGAAACATCTTATGGTTATACGTCTTTTGCTTACAACAGTAAGTTCTTTAAATTTCGTTAAAGATATATATATAGATAGATAGATAGATAGATAGATAGATAGATAGATAGATAGATAGATAGATAGATAGATAGATAGATAGATAGATAGATATAATAAAAACAAAATATTGACATAAATGTAATCTGCAATTTTGAATTCCTCAATATGTGGCATTCACATAATGAATGAAGAAGCACATCTGCAAGTAAACCCATGCTGCTCCATTCATAAACCAACTTTGAGTTACCACAATTTTATTACAGGTAAACAAGAAAGATAGCTAAACTTTTAAAGAAATGAAACTAAGAGTGGTGAAAATGTAATATTAATGCACATTCTCACTTTTTTTCTATCTACCCAGAGATGCTCACATGGATGCTTGGCTGTTCCAATTATAAAGTCAATTTTAAAAAGCTATTTAAATATAGACCTTTTTGGAAAGCCCAATATAGTCTTCTCTAGACACCAAGCCAATGAACACCCTCACTTCCCAACACCCTAAGTAAACAGTAAAAATAAGCTTGTACAAGAATCTAAAATATTACACTTTTCTCTCAAGATTCAGACCCCCCCTCCCCCCCACTCAGGATTGTACAAAAAATAACAATCGAAACATGGCAGGAAAAGCTAGGAAGATGAAGGAAACTATAGTGGACTGTTTTGTTTTAGTTTTTTTTAAATTCCCTCTTAGCAGGATTACTACACATACTGTATCCAGTGAGTTTGGTTTTGGTTTTCAAGTTCTTTAATATTTCAATATTTTGCTTTGGGAATGGGAAAGCCACCCTTGGCTTGGGGAAAAACACTGATGCATTTTGAAGCAGGACCATCACCAAATGTTGGGAATAATTCATATGTGTGAAAATGAGAGCAAGTCAAGACATTGGAAGCAGATATTGAAAGGAGCCAGGGCTGAAACATTACGCCAAGTGGATATTCCAAGTGTTGTTATTTTTTAACGGTTATAAAAGGCATTGATCTCTTGGCTCCATCATTAGGTCACTAGGTGTTTCAGACTCCTTACCTGCCTCCTACCTAAGAAAGTACAGGTAGTGCTCAATTTATGACCAAAACTGTGGTCAAGTTATGTTGCTAAGTGAGAGACTTAAGTGAGTCTTGCCCCATTTTACAACTTTTCTTGCCCCATTTGTTAAGTGAATACTGCAGTTGTTAAATCAGTAACATGGTTAAGTGAATTTGGTCTGCCCATTGACTCTGCTTGTCAGGTTTCAAAAAGTGATCACAGGACCCCACATGACTGCAATTGTCATGTGAGTCAGTTGTCAAGCATCCAAATGTAAATCATGTGACCATGGTGATGCTGCAACAGTCATAAATGTGAAAAATGGTCCTAAGTCACTTTTTCCAATGCCATTTGTAACTTGTGAAAAGTGAGATAAGCTGTCAGGCATCTTTGCAGAAGAAACACACAGCCCGAGAGGCCTGTTTCTCAATTCTAGTCATAATCCCTTCATTATATACACCAGGGATTAATTATTACATTATCAGGTTGTCACCATTCTTTGGAAGTAGCTGGGGGGGCGGGGGGAGTAACAGTTACTCTCTCTCTCAACCCAACTCACATCACAGGGTTGTTGTAAGGAAAACAGGAGGCCTATTAGATATATTCGCCACCTTGAGTTGTTTATAAAAATAATAAAGACGGGATATAAATAAATAAAAGGCCATTCGGAATGAGTAGGTAGGTAGGTGGATAGATGAGAGAGAGAATGAGAATAAAGGGAGAAGATAGATAGACAGACAGACAGACAGATAGATAGATAGGCAGGCAGGCAGGCAGGCAGACTAGATGATGGATGGAAGGACTGCCTGCCTGTTTGCCTTTTGGGATCTCCTTTTTTTCGATCTTAAATCGCCTGGAACTGAAGCTGTGGCTGCCAGAAAAACACGCACCAATTTCAGTGTTGGCGAATCTGGTCCAAAGTCCCACTCACATTTAAGCCCCGAAGTCTCTTTTGCTAGAGAAGGATCCCGGAACTCAGCAGCCAAACTCCGATTGGCTGAAACTGGGACTCTTTCGCGCGCGAGCCTACCCCAGCTGACCTAAAGGAAAGCAAAACTGCCGGACGCAGAGCGAAGAGGGATAGAAAGGAAGGGGGGAGGGGAGACGACGCTGCGAATGAAGCCTTGCCTTGTGGGCCTTGTAGTTAAAGGATTAGAGCGCAGTACCGCCTTCCTAATACGGTAAACTACAACTCCCAACAAGCTTCACGCACCGCCCGCCCTCTCCTTAGTTCATCGCGCATCCACTGCCGCCTAATTTTCCCGTTTTTTTCCCCCCTTTACCTTTTTATAGCGGAAAAGTGAAAGGGTATTTCGAAACGGCTCTCCTTTTTTGCATATACGTACAAGCAACTAAGTGAATCCTTTTGAGTTGCTTTCCTAGAAGCGCTTTCGCTATTAACCTGCCTGCCGCAGAGGGCGAAGGGATGTGATTCCTTCTTGGTGAAGAGTGCCCACGCTTTTTGTCATGCTGCTCGACAAAGAGCAAGTGAAAGCCTGCTTCTCCAGGGCTAGTAAGCCGTCGGGGCGGCCCGAAGAGGGGACAGTCCCACCTCTCTTGGACATGAGCATCTTTTTTACACCCGTGTCATGTTTGTAGATAGTTTTAGTGTTGGAAGCTTTAAAAGACACTTCGCTTGGTTAATGCACTTTTCAAATGCAAAAAAAGAGACGTTTGAAAAATAAAAGCTATAACATGTTCTCTGCTTAGGAAAAAAATTAAAATTAAATGGGCATCTTCCATCTTCTCACCATGTACATGTATACATCCGAACTAGACTCTTGTTTTTCAGTGTCATATGTGGGTATATGCATAATTTTGTGTTTATTTTGTAGTGTTTTTGGAGGTGGTGACCCTTTGAGAGCTGAATGCAACAACATTTCATGTATGCGGATTAGTATACAAAGTTAAACTAAGTCTTTGATTACAGGGACTGTTGCAAAGGCCAATATTAGTCCGTCTCTGATGTCATTTGGACAAGGAAACTAAACAGATTAGCACTAGAGAGGAAATACCTGGCCTGAAAATATTGAGTTTGCAAACGCTTAAAAAAAATATCTGGAACCAGGCAATAGAAGAGTTACTTATTTATTTATTTATTTATTTATTTATTTGATTTGCCAATTGTTTACAAGATAATAAGTATAAGTGTATACATAGTTGTGAATACATGAAATGGGTACATATAAGAAAAATAAAAGAATAAGAGAAACAATAGGACAGGGACGGTAGGCACGTTGGTGCGCTTATGCACGCCCCCTACAGACCTCTTAGGAAAGGGGTGAGGTCAATAGTAGACAGTCTAAGGTTAAAGTTTTTGGGGTTTGGGGAAGAGACTACAGAGTCGGGTAGAGTATTCCAGACATTGACCACTCTATTGCTGAAGTCGTATTTCCTGCAATCAAGTTTGGTGCGGTTTACTTTGAGTTTGTATCTATTGTGTGCTCTTGTGTTGTTATGGTTGAAGCTGAAGTATTCATCGACAGGTAGGACATTGCAATGTATGATTTTATATACCATGCTTAAGTCAGACCGAAGACGGCGTAATTCAAGGTTTTCTAGTTCTAGAATTTCAAGTCTGGTGGCATAAGGTATTCTACAACGAGTAGAAGAGTGGAGAACTCTTCTTGTGAAATATTTCTGGACTTTCTCAATTGTGCTAATATCAGATACGTAATGAGGGTTCCAGACTGATGAACTGTATTCGAGTATTGGTCTAGCAAATGTTTTGTATGCTCTGGTTAGTAGTGTGATATTACCAGAGAAAAAACTACGTAGGATTAGGTTAACAACTCTTAATGCCTTTTTGGCTATGTAGTTGCAGTGGGCTCTAGCACTTAGATCATTAGAGGTGAGTATTCCAAGGTCCTTTACAGAGCTTGGATCATCAACAAGATCTTGACTATTCAGCTTGTATTTTATTTTCTGATTTTTTTTGCCAATATGTAAGACAGAGCATTTATTTGTTGAGATTTGAAGTTGCCATTTGTTTGACCATTCAGATACATAGTCAAGATCTTTTTGTAGGGTAGCAGTATTGTCTGTGGTATTGAACAGCTTTACATCATCAGCGAAGAGAACGCAATTGCTCTTAATATGATCACAGAGGTCGTTTATGTAGAGTATGAAGAGAGTTGGTCCTAGAACACTGCCCTGGGGGACACCACTATTGACAGGTACTGGATTTGATAGGACGCTCCCGATTTTGACCATTTGTTGTCTGTTTGACTGGAATGCTTCTATCCAGTTATTCAGTTGTCCAGAGATACCATAGGATTTTATTTTTAGGAGTAGTTTGTCGTGTACCACTGAATCAAAGGCTTTACAGAAGTCTATGTAGATTGCGTCTATTGCTTTGCCCTGGTCGAGTTGTGTCGTCCATATGTTTTTGCAGTGTAAGAGTTGCAGATTACAGGATAGTTTTTTTCTGAAACCAAATTGTTTATTGGAGAGTAGGTTGTTTGTCTCTAAGTGGAGGATGATGGATTGGTTAATAATTGATTCCATGACTTTACAGGTGACGCAGCATAAGGAGATTGGCCTGTAATTTTCAACTAGGCTTGGGTCTCCCTTTTTGAAGATGGGGATGACTGTGGCTTGTGACCATAGGTTAGGCAAGGAGCTGGTCCTGAAAGATTTTTCAAAGATTATGCTTAGAGGTTTGGCTATGGCAGTGGATAGCTTTCTTAAGAAGTAGGCACATATTCCATCCGGTCCAATAGATAGAGATGGTTTTAGATTGCGTAGTGATTTTTCGACATTGTCTTCTGTGAAATCGATATGTATTAGATCATTGTTGTTATCTGTGGTACGGCTAGGAAATACTGGGCATGATCCATTGCTGTTTACAAATACTGAGCCGAAGAATGTGTTAAAGATGTTGGCTTTAATGGTGTCGTCGTTGCAGTCTTTACCATCAGGTCCTATCAAGGGTGGGATGGACCTTGAGTCTTTTAGTTTGTTGTTTACAAAATTGTAAAAAGCACGGGTGGAATTGGTGCTTAGAAGGTTTTCCTCTTGTTTAATGTGATAATTGGTGCATTCGGTCTTTATCTGGTGGCATAAATTTTTGTATCGGTTTTTGAAATTGGCAACGTGACCAGATTTGTTTTTCCGCCAGAGTGATCTCTTTTTGGATTGAAGTTTCCTTATTGATATGGGTAATCTGCTTTTTTGTTTTGTTTTGGGAGTTGTTGTTGGAACATATAGTTTGATGACTCTTTTGACTTCAAGTAAAAATATGTTGTAATGGTCTTCAACGGTATTGCATCCAGTGAATAGAGATTGCCAATCAAGGGATGAGAGATCGTTGTCTATAAGATCATAGTTGCCTTTTTTGAAGTTACAATAGGGGATTACATCATTGTGGTGATTTTTGTGTGGACGTATGTTGAGACAAAAGTCAATCATATTGTGGTCACTACTGGAAAAGGGTTCTTTAGTTTGTATTCCGTAAATTAAATTCAAACTATTGCAGAAGATGAGATCGAGGCAGTTGTTTAGTCTAGTGTTGTTGATTACTAGTTGTTCCAGTCCCAGATTTGTAATAGCATTGTGGAAGGTTGTGTGTATGATTTCAATTGTACAATCATTTAGGGTCCAGTCAATATGAGGTAGATTGAAATCACCAAGAAGGATAAAAGGGTATGGGCAGGATGCAGCCCATGTTAGTAATGTATTTAGCTTGTTTACATGTTCGATGTCATAATTAGGTGCTCTGTAACATAGTAAGAATCGAATTGTGATATTTAAGGATAGTTCACAGATGATGGTTTCAGGAAGGGCAAGCTCCTGGGTAACTTGGATATTTTTTAGATGTAAGGATTTTTTATAGAATATAGCAACACCACCTCCTCGACGATTTTCACGATCTGATCGGTAAACATGATAGTCTCTTACTGTGGTAATGGAGTCGGGGAGAGATGCATTGAGCCATGTTTCACAGACAAATATAATGTCGAAGTTAGCCATATTTAGGAGGAAGAGAAATTCAGGTATTTTATTCACGAGGCTTCTTGCATTGAGTAGTTTGCATTTAAGGCCGGCAGTAGTTGGAATTGAGGTAGTTGGGGGCGTGCCTAGTCTTGGGTGATGGTGGATGGGTTGAGGTAGGGTTGTGGTTGAGGGTAAAAGCTGAGTATTGGGTTGCGTGGCTTACTTTTGATACAGTCAGCATGGTAGTCAATGTACAGGTCCTCTCCATTGTCTAGACGGTTTTTGAGTTCGATGCGGAGTACACGGGAGCGGGCACGTTGCTGTATGGTTAGGTCAGGGCGGCAACGGAGGTTCTTATGGTTGGTGTTGGTTTTGGCGAGTGAGTTTATAGTATAAATGAATTTACGTTTGCTTGATTCATTTTTGCAAATGACCCTGCACAAGCGTGGGGCAGTTATGGATTCATCAGGAGTCAAATTCCAGTCAAAAGAGGCTTTGCTTCTATAGGACAAAGTTTAATTAATCATGGCGACTTGGTTTATGTATTCTACCATCATCCAACATTCCATATTTCTAGGAGGTCTACACATATTTTAGCCAAATGATGAAATCAGCACTCATTGTCAATGACTTGATTTTGTGTTCTGTTCAAAATAGTGACAGGCTGA